GCTCCGTTCATATGGAATGGATTTGTTTTTATTATGTTTGGATACTCATCCAGCTCACGAGTAGTATTATATTATGAATGTTATTCTGGTATTAATTAAAACGGTCTCGTTTCAACAATGTTTGTTGTGCATTATTAAAAGTGTGTGTGTTCAACATAACATAGACTTACCTGAACTTAACTTTAGAATGTTACCTAGAATTTAAATTTCGGCAGGCTGGAAAATATTATGTAGTGATATTTCAAACCAATACTTTTATAAGTATAAACCTATGTACTTTTCCAGGAAACGTAAATACCAAATTGGAAAATATTTTGTAACGCATAGGTAACACCGAAAGAAACACGTAGTTTGGTCAAAAACACAGCTCATTCAGTATACAAATGCATGTTTCAATTTAAAAAAGTATTCAACCCCTAACAAAAGAAACAAAATATAGCCATATTATTATGAACAGGCTTACTACCTATTTAAAAAACATCCCCTTTCATTTTATTTTAATCCTCCATTTGAAAGCTCAAAGAAACGATGTGCGTATTAAATTTTGCAATGACGTGCGTCAATCGGCATGCTTTGATTCATTGTTGGTAATTGGACACACGAGGGTGAATTTGGGGATTAATGAAGTACTTCATCTGTATCAAGTGTGTTCCTGGTAGTATGTATCAAATGGAACAGGGTCATAGATAATATAATTTCCTATCCTTTTGTTCTAGGAATAGGGGTTCTATTCTGAATGGTCCAAAAGTTAGACCAGTTTTCGTTTTGTTCATGTTTTCCCAGTACTTCCAGGGACATCCTGTATACTATGAAATTTCTGCTTATGTGTTTGTTACATAAATCTATAGCTTCCATCTCCTAGGGTTGCTGTTGAGTGGTCATGTTACGCAATTACCTACATACACTCACACAGACAGTCACACACACAGACACACATACTCACATACTCGCATACACACACACACACACAGACACACATACTCACATACTCGCATACACACACACACAGACACACATACTTACATACTCGCATACACACACACACAGACACACACACACAGACAGACACACACACACAGACAGACACACGCACGCGGCGCGTGCACACAGCTCCGTTGCCGATCAATGAACCTCGCCCCTCAGGCTTGAGGGTGTTTTGTAAAACTGAAGAGTTTTACAAAAGACCCTCAAGCCTGAGGTACCTTCGCTACTCAATTTAGTCGCGCTTAAGTATAGTATCATCGTGTATTTGTCTACATGGTACAATTTTTTTTGTTGCTACAAGCTTAATACTGACCCCTCAACGACGCATTTATAGAGCTTATCTGTGTCTGCCCCTCACCCCAAGTGAAGCAGAGGGCTGCATAAAATGAAATTTCATCTAATTGTTAGTGCTTCTGTCGGATCATACACGTGTACCTTCATTATCAAGTTTCCCGACCCCCAATCTGGATGTTTTTGAATCCATATGTATGCATATGATTTGCACATGACTGAAGCAAATAATTAAAAAGCGAGTTGGGGATCCAACTCTTTATTTATAAGCGATGGGAACGAGTGTATGTAGTCAAATCAAACATTTCAGTACATCATTCAATAACGAAACACATTTCTAAAATCTTTTCTCGTTTTATAATGACATTTCAAAAGGTCTTGTCGATGTCACTTACGAATGTCACATGTCACATTGTCAAGTCGAAGTCCTTTCGTGGTAGTCTTTAACGTCATATTGTTTTCTTAGATGAAGCTGTGCTATACACAGATATAAATAGGTGCTATAGTTACTTTCTATTGTTTTAAAAACATCTGTTTGATTAACAGAACATTTGTTTTGGAAAGTTCTTTGACGAGATAATTTAGATTCGTCGTCTCTTAAACTGTCAAACACCAAGCGGTCACCGGTGACCGCAACCTATTGTTCTATAATTGTGTCTACAAAACCGGTACTCGACGAGTTAATTATTAATGCATTTCAAATAAATAAATTTAGATTGTATCAAATTCATTAGCCATTCGTGCACTAATCAAGCTAATTCAATTTAATTTGGACACTGGATTGTTTTATGGGATCCTAGAGAGTGCACTCATTTCGACGTATGTAGATGTGCTTGTGTTAATCTTAAATTTTGTGTAATTTTCCAGAACTTGTATTGGGCCTATGTTTATTTAAGGCGTCGCGTCGTTTGGTATTAATTTCATACATTTTCTTCTATTCTTCTAGTCTGTCCCCTGAATGTAGTGGAAAGTCTGAGGAATTTGCCTCATGTCTATTATGTGAAAAATGTTTTGTGGAGTTATCATAATTCATCCGTGGAAACTATCTAATAAAATGTTTATGGAATAGTGTAACGAGGTAATGAAATTCATAAATGTCGCAAAAGGCTACCAAAGTTCATGACACAGTATTATTGGATTCAGTGTTAATTTCCCAAGAAAATAAGTTTAATTACTCAAAAACTAGTATCGGAATACCTAATTTGTTTGACGACAATCAGTTTTGTTGAATAATGTACGTTTGCGGCTGATTTTTTCTCTTGTACCCAATATTTAGACTTTAAAGAAGTTTTAAATACTTGAAAGGTGGACTGTTTTGTAAACATTATCATTGGTTGAAACCATCTGTTAGTAACTCTTTTGTGTTTAGAACCTTGGTCGTTATAAGTATGTAGTATGTAATGGATTAATGGTGCTATAATACATTTATTAATTGTCAGAATCGTTTTAATTATCTAGAATCTAGACATTTGCTGCTTTTCCGTTGACTTTTAAATATTACAAATATTGTAAAGAAAGTTTTTTAGTTTGTATGTTTGTTTTATACTCAATCACATTAAAACCCCTGACGAGATCGAGATAAAACTTAGTACAAATGTAAATTATGGTTTGGTATAACACATAAGCTACTTTTTACCCCACGAGAACGGGGACGATGTCACTGGCAGAACCTATTAATAGAATAAATTTATGTAGTTCTTATATATTGATGCGACTTGATTAATTTCATTTTTCTTTTAAGTTACCCATTTAAACTTTGCTTTTGCGATCTGTTTTATGTCTTTGATATATCATCAAGATAGTCTATGTATATGGAGTAATTGGTTTGTTCTCTTCCTATTTTCTTTGTTTTACAAAATGCAATAATTCTTCACATTTAAAGCGAGTGTATTAATATTGTATTAAATTGCTTTAAGTATTATAGTACGACAGTTACAGGTTTGTGTTTGCACCAATAATGGAATACCTACTGTTCAATAAATTAATTCACGTATGTGGTATACTATGAGAGCCTAGCTGTAACTATTTTAAAAATCACATTACGTATGTCAGTAACTGGTGGCCTGTCACTACGGACGGTGGGAGCAAGCAAACAAAAGGTTTATTATGGTAGCTGTATGGATGGTGTATAATTACGCGTTTATTTAAAAACTAGCTGCTCTTTATTCGTCGTAGCCTGATGTTTTGTTTTGTAGCCTAGCCTTCCTCCATAAGTATTAACCTATTTAACAAAAAAGTATTTTTCAAATCGAACCTTTGTTTCTAAGATAAGTGTTCAATCAAACTAACTACTTCTTCAGCTGTGTATATTTAGTATAGATTTACACATATTTATTCGATAGTTGTACGCATAATTTACTCTGCATCAACTCTGACCGTACACAACGTACATATTATTATGGCTAGTTACAAATGCAACCCTTTGCTAGGGTATGGTTTGTAGTTAATACATACCAGCTATTTCATCATACATCAAAGCCCTTGCTAATCCAAAATTACATTGTCGAAAAGAATATGAAAGGGTGACGCCGTGACGCGTGTTTCAGAGGGAGACAAAGGGTAGGCAGTAGGCATTGGGCAATGAATTGGGCTTGAAATTCGATCCCAGCACATGTTAGCCTCGAATGCACATGACATTGAAAAACCAGTGGATTACATTCACCATAGTTACGGTGATTGCTTGCGTGATTATCATGTGATGATGCGATTGCAATCTACTCTAATACATTATTTATTTCCGCGATTTTGAATTTTTTCTCCATCATTTAAGATGTAATTAAAAGTCTAATGCGATAGTATAGCCCATGCCCATATTAATATTTGAATGTCTTATAATTTTTGAGCTTTAACAAACGACATTATCTTTTTTAATTTTTAGAAGGCGTTGAATACCTGCCCGTATAGGACATTCTTACATTCATGTTGTTGATTTCGTTGTGAAGATTATTTGGGAGTACATACTAGTGGCGACTGGTGGGCTATCTAACTGGTGGTGCGCTTTACTAAAATATTAAAATTAGAAAATGCAACAAAACAAAAATTTACATGATTTTTTTTATTTTTTATAAATTAAATCAATGCGACGACATTTTTCTGAAGCGAAATATTTAATCACCTTTTTATGAAAATCGGGTATTGTTTGTATGAATTTATTTTCAATACAACAATAATTAGCGTGTCATACATAAGTGAAACTATACTGATATTTTGATGACGAGATGTAAATTATGGTTGCCGTCGCTTCGCGCCTATGACCGGCCTATTCGTTAAACATTCCGAGCTCTCGGCAATCCTCGGTTCGCTCGTGCTCGACAACCGATTCATTACTCGGTACATTTCTACAAACTATCTTTTGTTACAAACGCCAGGCATATTCACTCATATCTCCTACAAGTTATATTAGCAGTCCTCGTGCAGTTGCTGACCCGTACGAGATTTTGTCTTGCAGATTTCATTTTTATACGTTATTGTTTGTTTAAAAATAAATAGATGAAGTAGCTACTTCTAGTTAGATATTTAATATATTGTAATTTTTAAATCTTTTGAATTGGTGGGTCAGCGCACGAGCGCAATTAAGGTACAGCCGCCACTGAACCATACTTACTAACTGTGATCGAGTAAAATATTAGTTCTTTATTCACTGACCAGCCTGGGACTGTTCTAAATGTTTAAGATACCTTATCGAATAATAACAATAAATGTTCCATTTTTGTATTGTTTATTAGGAGGGAGTGACAGGAGAGTGGCGAGGTGCCTGGGTGATGCTCATCCGTCGTGTGATGGTCTACTATACAACAAAGGAGCCCGCTGTGCGTACTGTTGACCTCAGGAAAACCAGATGTGTTGGTAAGTTCACTTAATTAGTAAATTATTACCTATGATACGATTCACTTTATTTAGTGCGTTGCAATGCCAAATGGAATAGAATATTGCCTCATTAGTTAATTAGACGGAAATGCGACTGCTAAGCGATTCCTACACCTGGCAAAATATAGGGTGTCCTTACACCAACCACCTCCTGCCATTCTGTAGGTATTTTTTTTTTTTTTTTTATGGCATAAGCCGGTAAACGAGCAGACGGATCACCTGATGGAAAGCAATCGGCGTCGCCCATGGACACCTGGAACACCAGAGGCGTTACAAGTGCGTTACCGGCTATTTGTGGATTAGGAGTTTGAGGATTGTTGGGGATTCAGGGATTGGGGAGATTGGGGAAGGGGAGGGAAATTGGGCCTCCGGTAACCTCACTCACGCGACGAAACACAATGCAAGCGTTGCTTCACGTCGGTTTTCTGTGAGGCCGTGGTATCACTCCGGTCGAGCCGGCCCATTCGTGCCGAAGCATGGCTCTCCCACACTTAAAAAGGTATAATGTAAATAATGCCACTGAAATTATCGGTTTAGCAAGGAACCCACAATAGTGTCCGATATATATTTCTGTGGATATAACCTACAATTATACCTACTGTTACAGAGAATAATTGTGTAGGTACCTATATTATACATACTTATAGTCTATATTATGTGCCGTTCTCATCTCATGTTTCCTTTATGCTATCCTTTGGGAGAAGGCAATACAATATAGGCGTGTGTTATGTTATAATTCTTAACAAGAATATAATTACATATTATGAGCTGAAATTCTACAAGTAAATAGTTGGTTATTTTATTTAGTCATTCTGTTACGCTCGTCGATTCATATGAATCATTACATTCATTAGGCACGGGCACGGGCACTCAATACCGAGAAATCTCATACCTATGTATCTTATACTATACTTATTCCGAAGTAACGAAGCTTTACACGTATTATTAGATTCCTACAAATCAATATCCATCTATTCCCAGTTATTAGTAGTTTATTAGTGTTTCTCCAGAGAAGAAGTGATTTCTCCAAAAACATTTTTATGAGAGAATTTATTTTAATAGTATCATAGTCATACTTATTTTGGAACGAGTTCTATTGTGGGACTGGTTTAATGGTGTGAGTGACCCGCCATTTTGGGATTATGATAATGCAAAATTTGGTATGTGTAATGCCAAGGACCAATCGTGGGCCTGGGTAGCCGATGTTTATTGTGTAAGGGTGCCGTGGACGAGGGTAAATACTGTTTAGGGCGTCAAGTTGTGGGTAAACCGGATAGGATAACGTCGTATTTTTTTAACCGGTTCCTAATAGGAGGAGCCGGGTCCGTCAAACCTTAGGCTCCTCCCAACAGGACACGCCCACCCTGGCGTACAAGAATGACCAATTTTTTTTTTACAAATGTTACTTAGCCGGTACTTATGACAATTAATCAAATATGTGATATACGCACCCTCATAACTATTGAAGTTGTAGTTGGACTTAACTTGGCATATTGTGATTTTTTCTGAATTCCATATTTAACAATTTTGACAGATGCATATTTGACACTAACAAGTCAAAATCAAATCATTTATTTCAATTTAACTGTCAAACACCAAGCGGTCACCGGTGACCGTTGAGGCTGCGGGCCCATTGTTCTATAATTGTGTCTATAATGACGGTACTCGACGAGTTAAACCATAATTGTGTACTTTTCAAACGTCAACAAATACAAAATAAATAATAGCTCATTCCACAATCACAGATTACGTAACCAAAATGTAGATTCAAATGAAGAAGAACGAGCAAGAAACACCAATCGTAACTCTTTTAAAAAAAATATGTTCTACAATGTCTCTGATACATATTCCAATACTGTACGTATGTGTGAAAACAATGCAAAGACATGCTTGGCGCATTATACTAATTACAACAAAAAAAAAACTCATAGTCTAACATGAATGATGCTCACATATGCATACTGACAATCCATAAAAATAGTGCTTCTATACAAGAAAAAGGAAACTGTTTCAATAAAGAAAGCCTAACTTTAACACTAAACAGAGAAAAGTGAGCGGTTACAGTTATAGTTAAAGTTATGACGTCATTTAACTATTTGTCAAATGGTGCAACATATTTTGGGCCTAACCGATACTTTAACAGAAATTTGCATGTTTTTCAAAGTTAAAGTAAGTTGGTGCAACCAAGCCTCAGTAGGTAATTAGGAATGTTTACAATCTAAAAAGTGATATTTAGCTAAGTACCTGATCGTTTAATCTTCAGAGTCACAACATTTTGGTGATAGAACACTAAAAAAGAGACTACCATATCTATTGAACAGTCTGCCGGCAGAGATAAGCAGTGAAACAAATTCAAATAAGTTTAAACGTAAATCAAAGTCTTAAATTCTATATAAGTTTCCTGTATAAAATTTATAAGTACAATTAATTGTAATGAATAGTGACTCGACTCCACAGGCAGACCATTATAAATACTTACCTGTGTGATTTAAAGATAAATAAATAAATAATTGTGAGAATAAATTAAAATACCATTTCAGACTGGTAAGATTCAAATGTCAAACTAGTTGTTATCTATGTACTCTGTATACAGCTACAGACGCCAACTGGAAAGCAGGCAACCTAATCCTTACCTACTATAAATAAATAATTCGTAAATCAATTTGTGATTTAAATTACAAAATAAGCCAAGACCTAATCACAACATCTGTTCGCTACCCTTAATTTACTTTTAAAGTATTTAGATCTACTTTGAGCATAGATATCATAACATAACATCACGCTTTCTATCTATGGTAGGCCGAGGTCCACATTAAGGCTTTTAATGTCACTGTACATTGTAACACCCACTTTTCACTATTTATGTTATGAGTCCCATCAAGTCCCATGTAATAGGCTGTGATCCTATTGCTATAACCGGGCACAATTCCAGATTCTGTGCTACTACTGAGATTTTTTTAAACCCAGTTATAGGTACTTTGACGGCCCGGGCATCGAACCCGAACCCCTTGCCCGGCAGTCGCATTTGCGACCACTCGGCCAACGAGCTAGTCATAGATATCATAATTTTAATATATCTGTAACGTTATGGTATTATACCTTAACCTTTTCAACGCCAGATTAAAAACACATAAACCTGCACTCAACGCCAAGCCACAATTTCCGCGCGAATTCCTACGAAAGAAATAGGGATTCCAATATGGTCTCAAATTGTTGATCTCGTGTTTCTGTATACCCTTTTTTCTGTCATGTATTTGTGTCGTTGGCGTCCATTGACAGTTTTCGCTTGTCACGTATATGTGCTCAAAAGGTTAAATGACAGAGATGGCATGATATTTAAGTACAACACAAAATAGGGTAGATGACTAATTTCTATTTTAATGTCTGTCTGGTCTGGTAGATTATTTAAAACATTAGGCACGTATTTTTTATTTTTTTACACTAACGGATATTTTCGAATATAATTATATTGATTTGAAATGTCGCGTGACTTCACTTCTATATACATTTTATACGTAGCCGCGGAGAACCTAACGGGTTACCGGGGCTCCGGCTCGAAGTGCAGGAGTAGGAACGGGGTGGTTCTTAGTCAATAAGAGTCTGACACTCCCTCTCGCCCTGACCCGGGCGGGAGAAGTAATTGGATGAATTTTCGCCCACAAAAAAAGACTCCACTCCTAAACTTTGATTCGTTACATCTAAGTATAATTTTATTATATGTATAACAAAATAAAAAAATACTTGTCTAATATTTTTACATTACCTAACTGACGGACTAATTACATTTTTAATTTTCATACCCTGTCATCATCTCTATTAAACTGTCAAACACCAAGCGGTCACCGGTGACCGCAACCTATTATATAGAACAATTATATAGAGAGAACTATTATATAGAGCCTTTCAGTACCTCTTTGGGCGTAAAACTCGTAAGTAAACGTTGTTTCCACAACTTCCTGTGCAATTTCAAAGGGAAATAGTTTGTAAACTACATCAGTTAAACGTTACCGCCGGCGTCACATACGGTTATTACATCAATTGTGTATTCCTTCAATAAATAAATCCAAGTACCTACTTCAACAGTTATTTTGAAGTAAGTATGTACTTGGACCCCCATTGAATTGAGATTTGTGTTCTTAACGCGATATTTATTATCATGGCTTATTTTTATTAAATAATTAGATAAATATGTAATGGGTATGGGTACCTATACTTTGAAACATAAGGCAACCTGTCATCAAAAGCAGGGGTCAAAGATTTAATGAATCAACAAAATCATATCGAAAACTCGAGCTCCGTGTAAAATTGTTATAATTTACGCGTGAGGCAGCGAAGCGCTGCCTCCTCGTAACCCAGCCATCGCGAAGGACACACCGGGCGTCGGGGATCGCGAGACGACCTCCGGCCACCCTAAGCGCGGGCCTGCGGACGGCGAGCATGGGTGGCTCCCCGTCCGACCAGAAACAGACCCGAGCGTACGGCGCGTCGCGTTCCGCTCGCGCCTCAAATAGCCATCAGACCATCCCAGATGGGGCCCAATAGGGCCGATGCCGATTCGGAGTCGCGTAGAACCTAACGGGTAACCGGGGACCCAGCTCGACGTACAGGAGAAGGAACGGTTTTAGTCAGTAAGAGTCCGACACTCCCTCCCGCCTCACCGCCTCACCCAGGCGAGAGCAATCATTCGATGATTTTCCCCCCTTAAAAGAAAAACCACAACTCGAGTTGTCTTACTTCCTCCATATCTAGGTAATAGATATACCAAGTTCATTCATATCATTATGTGCTTGAACCAGGACACCTGTAACCAATAACCATATTTAGGAAATGTGTATAAGCAATTATATGTCACAGATATTACACAGATAAAGTTAATCCACGCTAGCATTTATCTAAATTCATTAGTTAAGCAGTTTATTCTTAATACGGTGAGGTCTAAATAAATTGTTGGAATGTCCAGTATTGGTATGTAGGCGTCACTATTTGTGTAACGAAGTTAATCGTCAATAAATACATTGTGCGGCCGTCCCGGATGTTCCATAATTATGTTTTATTACCGCTAACACACACAGTCATACTGTTCACTTCATATGTGTTCCCAGAGATAAAAGAATTCATCAAAAGTTGAAGGTCATTGTTTTATGTTTCATAATCTCATAATTAAACGGAAACTTACGTTAAATATACAATATTAACAGCTATGTGTTATCGCTGTATGATGATTGATAAGTTCTCTGATAATATTCAGCTAACAAAACCATGCAGTCAATCAGTCCTTTGTTGTTAAATATTAGGTACATAATATTCTTGTTAGTATATTTCCAATAAACATGTTGGTATTACCATGACTGTATACCATCGAGAGCACTTGATCATAAAACTAAGTTTATGTTTTTGTTACTAAATTGACATCAAATAACGGTCCTCTTTGGCTTGTTTATAAAGAAGTTCATGATAATTTTTTACCCAGAAGATAAAAAGTATTTGTCTTTAAAAGCCATCTGCACAGAGATATTCCACCGCGAGATGTTTTTCGCATTTCTCTAACACATAGAATTTCATTGAAGTACCAACCTGAACAAGTGCACAGGTGATAGAAATTTTATGATTTCATGTACGTACATCTGACGCGACGCGGTGCGGAAATAAATCCGTGTGAATTTTAGTTGGCTACCAGCGGCTTCGCCCGCGGTACTGCGGGATTAAAAGTAGCCTAAGTATGTCTTATTTCAGACCATAATCTAACCCTGTTTCAAATTTAATTCCGATCCCTACAGCCGTTTCGACGTGAAGGGTAACAAACAGACAGACAAACATTCAAACTTTCGCATTTATAATATTTGTAGGATAGTAGGTTTATAATTGCCTTGTTGGAATTGAATAAAATTTTAAACAAAAATAAAACAAGTTTACTTGACCGAATTTTTTTTAATGTAAAGTTTTAAATGCCATTTTTGATTAATTTAGATCTGTTCCGAAGAAAAATCCGTAACACTTTTATAATTTTCTTTTTATCGAGGTTCTTTTTATCAATATTTATTTTTATACTTTATATCAAACACAACTGTTGCTTGCTTGAGCTAGGATTAAAAAAAATAAACTTGTATTTATATAATTCACAGTGACACAAGAGGCTGACGAGGACACCAAGTCTGTCTGCCCGACAGACGGCAGTCACAACTTACTACTCGACTGCCCACACGCCACACTTTACTTACGGTTCCCACACGAAAGAGAACTGAAGGTAAGAGGACACAAAGATCTGTTTAAAAATTACAATCATCAAAACACACACCAACATCGGCCGAAAGACTTCCATTTTTAAAAGAACGCCCATAATAGGGTCACACGTAGGAGTACACAAGGAATAGTTCCACGTACAAATCAAACATTAAAAAATACCTAATGAGTATAATCGCACACTAACGGTAGTTTTTTCTTTGTCAACGCGTTGCTTTTCGCACAATTAGGTAAGACATGTAAAATAAAAAGTTAAATTGTAACTCTTTCAAAAAGTTGAGTAATTATTGATTTCTCACACATTTCTCAAAAAATGTTAAAAGACCTTCATTCATAACACTTGAAATGTCTTCCTAGTGCTCCTTACACACACACAAGTACTGGGGTCAGTAGCGCCATCTTGTTGCAGTGTATGCATTAGTGAACTTGTGAACCTAGACCTTCGCCGCGTTGCTAGATGCGTCAACAAACATTTCACGTGCTTGCACTATAGATGGCATTTCATGGAAAATGCAATATTATTTTTTCATTTATGAATGTTAAAATACTAAGTTCTTTTTTTGCTTGAATTATTATTTTCATAAAAATATTGGTGTAAAAATACGATTAATACACATTTAGTTCGATCTCGTAATACATATTAACTTTTAACTTGACAACATTGTACTACCTTCCATCTCGCTCATTTAACAAGCAAACTCGTATAATAGTAAGAGATGAACGATTGTTGAATTTGATACACGTCATTTTAGAACGTAAGCTAGTGTATATTGGTACGACTATCAGTCCTTATATTTTGTCGGTTCAACGTTGCATTGGATCAATAACGGGTGGGTGAGGGTCATATCAGTTCTACGTTTGAGGCAATATTTCACACTCACCGTGTTGTGATTATCTGTTTGTCTGAAAAGCAAAGTAAAGAAATATCTTCATTGTGAAATAGTGTTTTTAATCATGGATATCGATAATGGCCGAAAATCAAATGATAAGAAAGAAAACAAACCCTCTTCAAGCAAGTCCACTGAAGATAATAAGAACAGTATCGATCCAAAAAAACCACCCCGTAAAGGTACTCCATCGAAACCTTCTTCGAAACGATACAATCCTAGGCGTGCATCTGTAAAAATGCCCGACTTGCAGTCTGATAAAGGTGAGTCATTTGCGGGTGGCATCGTAGAGTTTGAACCAGACATGCCAGATCTGGTGGAAGCCACTATTCCTGACGCCATTCATGAGGCACGAACGGTCAATGGCCTTCAAAATAGTGCGCAACCAGTCTATTCAAACCGGGTGGAAGTCAGACCATTTCTGCCTTTGCCAGAACCAATCATCTTGATTCCCGTGCACCCCGTGCACCCCGTGCATCCCGTGCATCCCGTGCATCCCGTGCATCCCGTGCATCCCGTGCATCCCGTGCACCCCGTGCACCCCGTGCACCCCGTGCATCCCGTGCATCCCGTCTACACGGGCGGCACTATCGAGGAGTATCAGCGGCGTTGGCGGGAGTGGTACTATCAAATGTACTTTCCTCCACGATACGAACAGAGGAGACGCCATAGTCAAGGTGTGCGCGCTGAACCCCTGCAGCAGAACGCTAGTATTAATCAGAATGCCGGGAATTTAGAGACTCAACAACCGCCTGCTAACGCAGAGGCACAAGTTCAAGAACAACCAAAGGTGGTGGAAACCCAATCACACCCCGATAGTGAAGAAAATGGACTCAAATCTGGCAGCGTAAGCACTGAGCATGAAACCCAGGATGGTGATATCCCATGTGGTGATGAAAAAGCTAGTGATGTTGGTAGCAAGCAGGAGTCTGAGACCCCGAAAGATCAACAAAAACAAAAGAATAGCAAAGGTATTAAAAAAACTGTGACATTTCAAGATCAACATTCTTCTCGGAAAACTGCGGAAAAACAGTCACAACAGAAATCTACGGATGTAGATGAAACCAAAAAATCTGCGACTGACGCTGCGAAAAATAAGAAATCTAAAAAGAAAGCGCAAAAGCATCGTAAGGGTAAGAAACATGTGTAAAAACAGGAAAATCCGGTTACTAACGAATCGAAATAAGAAAGCTCTATGTATGTTATGCATAAATCTTCATGAAAATCAGTGTTTAAAATTAATAATGCATGTACCCCCAGTAAAATGTAATCTCCCAGTGAAACTAAACCCAAAATGTGTTGTTCGTGTATTCCTCACATATTAAACTGGTAAGCAAAGTAAGTTAGATTGGCACAAAATAAATATGATTTTAGTTATAGTGATAATGAAAGCTCATATTACGGAGTTAATGCATTTATAATTATGTGATTATTCTTTAGTCGCATAACGTTACGCAATACTCGTATGCTATACATATATGTAATAGTGATCATTGTGTCGTGAGTTAATTATAAAAGTTTGTACTTCAAATCTTCTCGCGGATATCTATACAAAAACGTATTTTTTTAACGTTTTGTGACAAATGTAATTTTAGTTTTAGTAACCTTTAGCTTATAATGTTCTTGACCCATTTGTAATAACATAATTCATGTGTCTGTAACTTGTTACACTATTTTAAGAATATTGTAGTATTGTCTGTGTGTTGTTCTCCTAACCTTCCTGGGAATACCTAAACAATAGCATGTGTTTCGTATTCAATGTATTTGATAATTTTTTTTAGCCTCTTTATTCCCTGCAATCTGCCTAGTTAGGCATTAAGTTGGTGATTAAGAGGTTCATGTATTGTGACATGTACGGTATACGTCCAGTGGTGTACCCGTTTTCAAATATTGTTCCCTCGAAGTGGATGTTTGATACGATTAAAGCTGCTGGCAGACTTCATAAGCCCTCTAGCAAGCTCGTTGGGGTGACGGGTCCTTACGCGATGCGAATACGACTTCAGTTTATTTGTGACTTCCTCATTCACTGATCTTATTTTTAAGTGTCGGTGTAATTGGGTATTAGTTATATCTTGAACTTGGCTATGGCTTGACATACTGCCGCGTGTCTAGTTACCATGGGGGATTTGCTATCATTCGAAGCATTTTTTATTGGAAGCGTTGTATAATGTCCAAGTTTGAGTTACCTACGGTCCCCCAAAGTTCTGATCTGTATGACCATATTGGTTTTAATGTAGCTTTATAGAGAAGTTTGTTGTTAAGTAACAGTTTTGACTTTCGTGCCATGAGTCCGTAAAGATTGCGAAGTTTGTACTTAGAGCTTTCCTTTTGGCAAATATTTGTCAAACGTTTGTCCAAGTATGTCCCTAAGTAGTGTACGTAATCCGACTGAGAAATTATAATGCTAATGAAAACAGTTAGGAGACATGATGTATGTCTGAAGGTGAAAGTTACGTGTACTGATTTGGATTCCTTTGGTTTTTTTTTATCTTCAATCCTTTAACTCGTCGAGTACCGGTTTTGTAGACACAATTATAGAACAATAGGTTGCGGTCACCGGTGACCGCTTGGTGTTTGACAGTTTAACCAGGCCGAAACGTCTTTAAGGTTTCTTTGCAACATGTCTGACGCAGCCACAGGACTTTCGTGTGCAATAAGATCAGTATCATCAGCAAATGTCCCTACGAGGACACCATCGCAGGTTGGTCGGTCAAAACTATATATAAGGCTAAGGACTCACGGCGTGATTTTCTCCCGCGCCGTCTGCGGTTGCCGGCCCGTATTCTTTGTAGAATACAGATATGTATGTAAAAAATCAAAAGAAATTTCACGGCGCGTCTTACGCCCGCGGCGTTGCGATTGTTTGCGGCACCCGCAGCACCGCCGGGCGCTGACGCGGTCTCGCAGTCGCGGCAGCTGCGGGATTGCAGTAAATTGTAGTCTCGTGAGTTTTGAAACTTCCACCTCCATTACGCCACCGCTGCGGGTGCGGGAGAAGATTGCGCCGTGAGTCCTTAACCTAAGACAGGATCCATCACACTGCTTTGAGGACCACCCATTTGGATTTTATGAAGATTAATAAGAGCCCCTCGTGTCGCACACGATTGAAGGCCTGCGATGTGTCTAAGTATGCCGCTGAGCAGTATTTCTTGTTTTCAAATGCATGTTTTATTTTTTCAACCAAACGATGTACCTGTTCAGTTGTCCCATGAGCTTTGCGCGAGCCAAAATGAAAAGCAGGTTGCAGATTCCCAGGTTTTTGAATGACGATATTTTCTATTGAGCTGATTCGTGTGATTGCCAATTTCCATTGAGCAAAGCATGTGTCAAGATTGACTTATATATAGCAGTTAGTAGGGTTAGGCTTTGTGAGGCAATTCTTTCATCACTTTACTTGTAATAAGGTCATAACCAGGAAGTATATTGTTTATTTATCAATTACATTATGAACAATATTCTATCAATATCAAATAAATTTGTAGTATGATACAACTAAATGTATTTTGTAGTGGTCAGGTGGTGTTAAATGCTCAATGTGCTATAGTTGTTGAATTTTAATAACATACATTAATTATTCTCACATAACTTATGGACATATTAATACAATTCTAATAATGAAACACTTGTATTTTGTTTATTATTCTATCCATGTATGTACTTCAATCTCTTTTAAAACTGGATTGGGCGAGTATAGGCAGTAGATACGGAATGTTCAGGGTAAAAATGAAATTGTATTTTCTAAACAAGTTCTATCTACATGAAGCATTTTACTTCATGATCATAGACCTTGTGTTTTTATTAGTATTAGTTTTTCTATGATGTATTGTATTGTATTTTGTCTCGTATAATCACCATGAATGATTACAGGGACTATATTTTAATTTATATATATTTATACTCTACTATCCCATTAAGTAAACACTCTGACATTCATTGATCATAATTCCATAATAATACACATATGTTAGTAAGTGTACAACGTTTTACTATTACTCATAAATATTACATTTTTACTCTTGATGTCAATTTAATTAATGTTTCGTCATAATAAATGTCAACAATAAACATGATAATCAAGTAATTCTGATGCTTTTTATTGCCAATGCAACCGTATTTTTCTTTAAATATCCCTGAAACTTGCGAATGAAATACACAATATATTTGCAAAGCTTTGCGAATAACACTTGATTCTTATAAATGAGAGAAATTAAAAATTAGTCTTACTTCAATTCTTTTTGTTTGCATAAAATGAAATTTATTTTTATTTGGGATTGTGGAGAAGTGTTACAATTACTTACAAACAACATCATATCTTCTTTTGGAACTACTGTCTAATACTAAATCTAAAGAGCAACTAACAAATAAATACAATTCACTGTTGACTTTATAATGTCAACTAATATTAAACAAGTCAAATTGTGAATAACATTTGATTGGGATACACTTGTATTATACATAGTACATACTTGTATTAGATATATTATTATGGAGTTAGTAAAGGAAAGTTAAGATTTTGAGAATCGGATACGAATTCGTAGCAATAGATACACATTTCAATTTCATAAGTGACTCAGAAGTATCTTATTCATGAGTAGTTATGTTTGTTTACTGTAAAAGTTAGTTTTTTAGGTTCTGCTATTCCTATTCTGGTTTAAATAAACTCTAAATAAGTACTTTCATCAATGTCAGAACTGGGAAATCGTAAACAAAAAACTAAAAAAAAAAAACAAAAACTGCGTTTAAAAAACCGCACTCTTAAACCAAAACCTATAAACAAGTAAAAGGTCAAAACTAAAAAGCCAAAATTAACTATTAGGTATTAGCCATCGCAGTTTTTGTAATTATTTTTTCAGAACATTAAAACAAATTAATCAAATAAAGTTTTAGGTAAATATTTAGATTAATATATCTGAACTTACAATGGAATGTTCTATATGTAGTTATATGTATTATAGTGGGAATAGTTTAATTCTCTCGAGTAGGGTTGTGTGTGCGTGTAACAAATTAGAACGTTGCCCTCAGTACAACAATAAGGTATTGTTAATCAGTAAAAGAACTTTGTTTTTTGGAAATTTAAATATTTTGATGTATTACAAAATCTACGAACATTAATCTACACCAACATGCACTCACAACTTTCTCCTTAATTATTTTTGGGGATTAGCAGAGGCCCCAAATTGGCTACTATCAATACTTTTCAGCTTTTCAGGAGTCTTAAGGTTAGTATTATTTATTAGATTTTGTGTTCTAGAATTAGCCACATTTAGCAGCTGAATTTCTTAAAGAACATCACACAGTCACAGTATTCTTTAGATTTAGACCCTATTTTATTGAGAGATTATATTGCGAAATGTGTTTGATATTGTCATTCTAAGCGAATCATTTTATTTTTATGTGTGATATCATATATTTTTTTAATACTTACAATTAAATAAGCGAATATTTATGTGTGATGTCGTATCATTTTGTTTTTGTTATTTACAACCAACTTTATGAATAAATGTTTGGCACCCGGTTTTAAGGGATGGCGGTACATGGTGAAGCTGGCTGCCCACAACAATGGAGCTCACATCCATCACCAGCAGCTTACAAAAGAAGATGTTCCCGCCATCGTGGACAAGTGCCTCAGCTTTATCTATGCTCACGGTACGTATACAAAAAAGTAACATTGTTTTAACTTCTTTATAGGCTTAACGATTGAACTTTAATGTTGTGTTAGTGTTCTTCTAAGATTTATATTAGGAAATAGGATATCATTCAATTTGGCACAAATAAAATCAAATGATACTTACCGGTTTAGTGATGTAATATCGGTTTGAATTCATTTATTTCTAAAAGATTACAAATCACTTGTACAGAAATAAATACTTAAATTATTTTACATTTTTTGATTTGTCCAGTAGCAACAAGAGGTTGTAATAGCGGTCACAATTTTAGGATTTTAACATTAACATAATAATTTATTACGATAAAGTAAGCAAGTTTATATGGAGGTATTCGTTAAAATATTTAATGACAAATATCTCACGGCCTACCGCCGTGTGCTGCATTGATGCGGCCCTCTGTGCGGTTCATTTGCAGGATGGGCTCACACCAGGCAAACCATTATAACATTGTTGACGAATCATCATAATTCTTATATTGTATTTTTTTTTTTCGTTTTATTGTATACTTATTTTTATATTGTTTTTTTTTGTTTAGTTTTTATTAATTTATTTTAATTTTATTATATTTTTTTTTCTTTTTTTTATGATATATTAATAGTTTTTGTTGTATCCCTTCAAGATGTGACATTTTAGTAATTTTTTGAAAAGGAACAAAGATTGTGTATTTTTTATATCTTTTGGTAGCGAGTTATAAAGTTTTGCTCCCTCATAAATTATTGTTTTCTTTCCAAAGTTAGTTCTAGTATGCTAGTATTGCTATGTGTATGTCTTGTGCACGTCTCAGAATGCGTTTCTGTGTGAAAGTGATCTGAGTATGTATGCCCTTCGAAAGAATTTTTCGAACCAGAATACATGTATTATATAAATATATACTATAAATGTTAAATAATTTAGTCTGTTTGTAAATTTCGTGTGTCGGAGTCAGATAGTGGTAATGAAATAGTATTTTTATAATTTTGTTTTGCGCCCTTTGTAGTTTTTGTAGGTTAGTTTTAGCAGCTGAACCCCACACTTCTATGAGATAGTCAATATGAGGTTTTACCAATGAATTATATATAATGCGACGGACTTTAGGAGGAAAACATCTCACATTTCAGCATAAGGCCCCTATCAGGCTTGATATTTTAGAATATATTTTCTCTATATGCGGTTTCCACGTTAATTGGTTATCCAAAATAAGTCCAAGATACTTCTCCTTGTTAACTTTGTTTAGCTTGACTCCATTAATGCTGAGTGATTTATGATCAGAGATTTTTTTGTTTTTAGCTGCAAATATTATATAGTTAGTCTTAGATGCATTAATAGTTAAAAGGTTATTTAAAAACCACCTTTCCAATATGATGAGATCTTCTTGTGCATCTTGTATTATAATCTCAATTGAGTGACCAAAATAGAAAAGGCACGTATCATCCGCATACAAAGAAACATATCCCTTCAGACCTATCTTGTCTATGTCATTAATATAGATTAGGAATAATAGTGGTCCACAAATTGAGCCTTGAGGTACGCCGTAATTAACAATCCTAGGTGCACTTGTACTCTCACCAATTCTGACTACCTGCCGGCGTCTCTGGAGATACGATTCAAAAATTCTGAATGCATTTCCAGTTACACCAATAGATGCGAGTTTGTTTAGTAACAACCTATGACTAACGGTGTCAAATGCCTTTTGTAGGTCAATGAAGACCCCTAATGCAATATGCTTCTTGTCTATATTTGTCTTTATAGTCGAAATTAAGTCTGTTGTTGCTGAAAGTGTATTGGATTTAGATCTAAAGCCATATTGTCTACGGGAAATATAGTTAATAGAATCCAAATATAGAGTAAGCCGTTTGTGTAACAATTTTTCGAAGATCTTTGATAGTATGGGCAGAACAGAAATAGGTCTGTAATCCCCGGGGACAACTTTAATCCAGTTTTAAACATAGAAGTGACTTTGGCGAATTTTAGTGTGTCAGGAAAGTAACCTTCATTGAAGCATTTGTTTATGCACCTAGTTAGGGAAGGTAATATAAGACTTTTAATACATTTGATTCATTTAGCACTGATCCCATCTATACCGGTACTTGTGTTTGCCTTTAGGATATTGATTATTTTAAGGACTTCATCTGGCATTGCTGGTTCTATTTCGGAAAGTGTGTTTGCGGTTTTGTACGAAGTGGTAGTGATAGTTTGACTATTATGGTATTTTGCAGGTAGAGGAGGAGTGCACCTATACTAGAGAAGAAGTCGTTAAAATACTCACATATTTCCTTTTCATCAGTGATTGGCTTTGAAGGTGACTGTAGTTTAGAGGGAGCAACACTGTTCTTTATTTTATTACTAGACAAATTATTTATCAATTGCCACATCTTTAGGGGTTTACCCTCACGTTCCTTGAAAGTTTTATAGTAATAGTTACTTTTTGTAACTTGGATAGTTTAAAAAACTTTATTTCTCTCTTTCTTAAATGCTGTTTCAGATTCTTTATCATTAGGATTATTTTAATAAATTTTCCACAGTTCGTTTCTTTTATCTATTTGATTAATTATGTCCTTATTTATCCAATCTGCCCTCGGAGGATTTAGTATTTTAGTTTTAGTTGTTTTGTTTCTGCTGATCGCCGACTGAATTGCTTCCTCCAATTTCGAGTACTCCTCACCGATAATATCATAATCCAGGCTTTCTACAGTTTTATACAGGTCTGAGTATGATACAGCTTGAAATTTTACTTTTTTAATAGGCTCTGGCTGGTACTTTTCAACTTCCAAGAAATGACAATGACCAAATTTGTATGGAGCGTGGTGCCTTTTCATTTTTTCGCGGCAGTTGATCGGATGTGGAAAAACTGATGCAGAATAACATTACAAACAAAAAAATATATGGGGTCTTATATCAAAAATTCAGTCCAAACCAAGTTAAATCAGTTCAAAGATGTGAAAATAGTGCTATATTATACCTGTCATTTTGTTGATGGTGACCGTACACAATGCATATTTCTTCATTTACTTGTCAGAAATATTTTGTGTAATAAATGTTTATAAACGATTTCAAGGAATAAAATAAAGCTTAGTGTGGACTTCTTACTTAATTTTTTTTTTTTTGTTATAAGGCCTCGGAATCAGAACAGAGCGAACCAAACTGGCCACTGCTGAAGTAAAAAAAAAACATTTCACTTGATTGGCCAGCGTGTTAACTTTATATGTATACGGTTTATGGCCTATGACAGATTTTTATGACCAATTTCCTCTCAGTCGAAAACCCGCAAAATACTTTACTGAGCCCTATCATGAAATGCTATGTTTGTCAGCTGCGGCGTCGGTAGCGGATTGAGCAGCGTTGATCACTTTAAAAGTCGACGGTTTCGTTTCTTCAAAAGATTATGCTAATTATAAAGTAGATGAGTGTCCCACCAGCAGTCAATGGCAAAAAAAAATATACTTTATTAGATGTTTGGACGACTACTACTACTTAACCCACCACTGGTACCACAGCTGACGCTCATGAAGCTTCATGACACAACTCCTAGAAGCATCCCACAAGTTATCGACTGAGAGAAAATAGGTAATAAAAATTAGTGCCTGGCAATATGAATATATTGTGGTGTGATATGGTTTTCCTGTGCCCGGAGTACAGTGGCGCGCAATTTGAAGTTAGGAATTGTGACAAAAATATGAATAATTTGAATAAAAAACCAAAGTAAAATATTTGACTACAGCTCCTTTCAACGCTCATAACTCAGTCCAGACTGAGATTTCCATATATAAGCCCATAGACAATTTCGTTTGTAATGTCATTCTAGATAATATTTTCCATAAATCATCGACTGAAAAAAGAAAGGCACCAATTTTAATCAATGCCCTTTGTTTATGATCGGATATTGTGGATTCTATGATAGCTAGATGTAGCTTATGATTTTTGAGGCTGGTGCATACGTGATCCAATATAGTCTTGTTGTTGGTGGTTGACGTTTCTCTAGTACAATATTTTGCATCAATATTATTCAATATGTTGTAGCCTTCTTCTCTAAGCACATCCATGTATTCTGAAGTAGACCGATTCGGCATAAGCAAATTATACCTCTAGTTAAAATCACCAAATAAAATTGTCCTCTTCCGATTTTGTAGTTCTTTCGAGAAGGTTTCGAGGAATTTTTTCGAGTTGGTTCTTTCTGGTTTATATATGGCACCAATGTCGAGAGAATTTTTTTCCAAATGGACCCACAGATAATGGTTGTCATCTTCACATTTATAGCTTAGGAATACATGCGTTAAGTTTTTATGAACAAATATTGAGACTCCACCTCCCCTTGATTGTGTTCGGAAGTTATAGTAATGTTTATAGTTAGGTAATCGTAAGCTTTCAGCTTCTGTTTCGTTTTTAATCCAGGTTTCTACCAATACTACTATATGAATATTTTTAATTGTTGTCAGTATACAGTTAAGTTCGTCTATTTTACCAGGTTTAACCAAGCTACGGATATTCGCGTAAAGAAATTTTAGCGATTTACGATTTGAGTACAGGTTGCTGTAACTGTTAGTTATTCCGTGTGTTATTTTGACATGTCCGGTATTTGGTTGCTGATTTGCAATTACAACTAGTTTTTTGATGGTTTACGTATTATTTTAGGTGTACTGTTAATGTATTTTATGATTAGGTCTTTCTCACCGTTTTGTGTTCAGTTTTGTAGTTCTTCCGACAATTTTCTCATGAATTTTTGTTGGTATGGGGTCTGTGAGTGAGGTTACCGGAGGCCCAATTACCCTCCTCTTTCCCAATCTCCTCAATCCCTGAATCCCCAACGATCCTCAAACTCCTAATCCCAAAAAGGCCGGTAACGCACTTGTAACGCCTCTGGTGTTCCAAGTGTCCAAGTGGGCGACGCCGATTGCTTATCATCAGGTGTTCCGTCTGCTCATTTACCGGCTTATGCAATGAAAATAAAAATTGGCTACTTGAAAGTTTTATGGAATATTTTTATGAACATGTGAAATATACTGTCATCTACCACAACAATTGATTTTCTTAAAAAAAATATTTGATTTTTTTTATTTTCTTAATTTTCCATGATCTATCGTGTCCGCCAGTGTTTAAATAACCACAAATCGCGCTTAAAAAATTCAAATTTATTTTGCCATATTCTAATTAAACAAATTTTAATTAATGTAAATGATATCATTGTTTACCTATAAGCTACCATTTCCAATATGTAGTTTTCATATTTTATTTTGATATAGGTATGGCAAATACCCAATTAGATTTACGAGAATTACAAGCAAACGGCCCAAACTTAAAAACTTTTCCAATATAATAATTATACCACGACGTGATTTTGTTCCGTAATCTAGTAACTATGAAGTCACTGTTCAATCTGCGGGAAGATCATGTTAGGCGAGATCATGATAAACTGATATATATGATGGTTTTTTTTATTATAAATATAGGTATTGAGATATTTATACTCTACCTTACTACACATAAATTATTCTAATCGATTCTAGGTTTTTGCTACATAGGGGTTTTCTTCAAAAGAATAAAATTTGCAAAACCTCCAGTAGTCGCCATTTCACTATTTGACACTCAGTCATTAATTATTTGAACGCACTCATCTCCGGAACTTCTAATTCGATTGAATAATTCTTTTTGTGTTGAATAGTCCATTATTTGCCGACGCTATAGAAGTATAGACAATAAAACTTTACGTTACATTCTATGGAAGCCGAGCAGAGCCGGGTGAATCCGCGCGGAAATAGAGCTAATATACAAATTTAAAAAATCATAGCGGGGCGCAAGTGGCAACGCAAACAAAAACAATGGGGATGTTGACAGGGTATAAAAATTAAAAATATAATTAGTCCGTAAGTTAGGTAATAAAAAAATATTAGACACGTATTTTTTTATTTTGTCGTATAATAAAACAATACTTAGATAAAACGAGTTAAAGTTTAGGAGTGGGGGGTAAAACGTCATTTCTTAGTATAAAATGTACTGAGAAGTGACGTCACGCGACATTTCAAATCAATATATCTTCAAAACTATTCGTTTTCGTGAGAAAATAAAAAATACGTGTCTAATATTTTTAAATAATCTACCAGACGGACATTAAAATAAAAATTAGTCGTCTACCCCATTGGGCCCAAGACACGTTGCGCTGCAGCTAGTTCCCCAACCACTGTACTTACCGTACCGTAAAGTTGAGTAAAAAGATGAAAAGTAAATAAAAACTCATACAATACAGTTGCGATACACTTATCTATAGGGATCATGCAATATTTTAAGTTTTGTTTTTATTTTAAAGAATTTCATATAAAATAGCTCATAAACTTATTAAAAATTAAAATAATCTAATTTATCGAAAAAAATGCGGTTTTAAACCTTCGATCAACAATAGCAACTAGATAAAGGGTTACATACAAAATCAAGCTTCCTGTCCGTGTGAATAATAATAGTAAAAAAATAACAAACAGAGAGAAATGTTTTAAAATAGTTTTAAGTTCAACCTAATAACAACCATGGCATCTAATAATATAGTCATAAATCGTCAAAATATTATCTAATACTTATGACCATTCGTCACATACCTAAGACGAGAAAAGTATTTTCTTACTCCTGTCATGTAGAAATTAAAAGACATAAGTTATACAATATCTAGTTTGAATTCAACCTTAAGCTTGAACAAATAAAGATAATTTTTCCATTATTGTCTTGCGATCTATATCGTTTTGTTTTGTTACGTGTTGCTTCTTCAAATTTCGAATTTCGCTACAGGAGGTATGTATGGAGTCGCGTTGGACACTAAAATAATTTTATAATATGAAAATTAAGATTTCGGAATCTTAGTATACATCACTTATTTTTATTAGCGGTAAGTTGTTGTGTATGATATGTTTATTTACTTTATCATTAAAAGTCTAAGTATAAGTCAAAATAATTTATTTTAGTTGAAGGCACTTTTGAACGTCAACTATATAAATTTAAAAGTGAAGCTAATTGCTCATTCCTAGGTGTAGATTTCTATGGAGAAGAACGAGCAATAAACTCCATAGGTTAGATACTCTTTTCCAATCAGGTTACAATACAATTTTATTTTACAATACAAATCGACTCCCTGCATCCACTGTTCTGTTTAAACAAATGTTTGTGCGCGTGTTGGCGAGGATTGGCCAAGGGTTCGCCAACACACGCACAAACATTGGTGGCGTTGGTTTATAATTGGTAATTTTGTCTAATTTGCTATTATTTACTAGTTTAAAAGCTTAAAATATAACTTATACTTTATGTACTTATCAAAGTAAGACACTCCGGCCGTTATACTGCTTTTTCGGTTATTATTTTTGCAACTTGTAATTACGCACTGCGGCATCGTGAGACGTGAGTACGTTGGCCGTGTTTGGAGCTCACTTCTCAAGTGAGCTCTTATTTGTCGAGACGATTTTCTTGCGCCGACCCGATATCTAGTTGTTGTTGTTGATCGAAGTTTTAAACGCACAGTTTAAATTTTCGCGCGAAAACGGACCTAGTTCCGATGACGTCATGTTTGTTAAAAGGAGACCAGCAAACTTCCAATGTAAATCCGGCCCTCTCACACACGAATGAAATACCGTGGATTCTCAAGGACTAATATATCGTTTTTTGATAACTCGGGGGATTCCAAATATTTCAGTTAGTTGTCAAGAAATCCTCCTAACATTTGTTCCCGCTCTGATTACAGATTTGTTAAAAATGCTGCCAACCTCTTTGGACACCTTAATGAAAATTTCATGTCAATAAAAAAAATACAATTTTCTTCGTAAACTCATCTGTCAAAAAACGTCAGATGACATAATTATAAATCTATATACTAAAAGATATTTTTTTTGTGTATGTTTGTCCATCTTTTACGGCGAAACGAAGCAAGGAATTGATGTGGTTTTTTAAGGGCAGATAGTTGAAAAAAAATATGGATGGAAAAGTAACGTAAAAAGTAAACTTTTATTTCTTCTTAACCACCCATTTTCCCAAAATGGGGGGTGGAAGTTTGTGTGAAGTATTTCGTAATTTTCAAGGTAGAAAGCTAAAAGTTGATATGCTTACAATTTAATAATCGTACATATATTTTTTTGTAACTTGCACCCAACCCCTTAAAAGCGCGCGAGCGAAGCCGTGGGCAAAAGCTAGTCCATGAATAAAGTGATGATTCATGCATACCTTTTTTTTATGAAAACGTTGCCCCACATTAGGATTTTTTCCTGTGTCGTGGGTGCGTTTACAAACATACCAGTTCACATACACAATGACACCCAGACCCGAAACAACAATTTGTGTATCACAAAGTGTTGTTCCGTGCGGGAATCGAGCCCGCGACACGTTGCACGGCAGCCGGTTGCCCAGACACGTAAATAATTTTACACGCAAAGTATACCTCAAAAAGTTGGCGTGACAAAAGTGACGTCACTAATCGCTGATGGTGTTTGTGAAATGCAACGAAACGCATATTACGTAACTTTAATTCGTAATTATTCTTAAAAATCAACATAATATAATCGATCTTTTGGCTCCCATAACACACCGCAAACAACAATAAATTGAAATATGTTTCCATTATATCAAAATAAGTAACAAAAATTGCACTTGCTTTTAAGCGACTTCACTGGGGAATAACGTTTTATTTTTTAAATTTCACTAAATGAAAGTAGAATCAGCAGGTTAGTTTTTAGTTACAAAAAATAAGTGTCGTTTACTGGCTCCTTGTCGATTACTGGTACCCTTACCATATGAATGCGCATGATCACGGATAACTTTAGTTATCATACCATTGTGATGATTAATTTTATTATTTTTAGATTTAAAGTAAGTTTATTATTTTAGTATTACTTATTTTATTTAAATTGATCGACTTTATTAAAATAATGAGTGGGTAACACCGAACAGGGTCGCGGTTGAAAATGAAAAGGCGGGAAAGGGAATGTCATCTGTTAGTCAATCAATCTGTCATTCGGAAAAAACCGGGGCCCGCGCTCATGTAAAATCGTAAAACAATGTATCATAATTGTAATTTATTAGTGAAAAGGTTATGTGAGAATAAATAGTAACAAGTTGATTGATTCAAGTGTGCTATTTAAAACAGTTCATGATGGACATTAATAGACGAGCGTGCCTTTAAGAAATGAAGGATTATTTTTTTTATCTTCGATTTCGCTTTGACTGAATTACTTTTAATGAGTTTTAACGTTGATTGTATGTTTTCAGGCAGTCTCTCGGAAGGTATCTACCGTCGCGCTGGCAGTGGCTCTGTGCTGTCTGAGCTGTTGGCTCGGTTCCGTCGCGATGCGTGGTCCGTCCAGCTCAGCCCCGTGCAACATTCCGAGCATGATGTTACCGGCGTCCTCAAAAGGTCTGTATTAATTATACATACATAGGTAACAACAAATCTTGATATTTTAGATGTCGATTGCCGACACTGATTGCTAACCATCTTATACTCCATCTGTGCCCACATATGTGATATGTCCTGGTCAGTCCTGGTAGCAAAGAGTGTGCAAGAGATTTGGGACTTGAAATATTTTCATCAAAAATGAAAATTCCTGTAAATGGCTAGTTTGTCATTTCAATCGCTTAGTATATCTAAAAATATAGCATAAATCATCTGGATACCTTTTGTCTAGGTCTTCAAGTTTGCCTGATAATTAGCTTTAAAGGTTAGTTGGCGGATGAAAAAATACTTTCAAGGTTGAGGTTCACAGTTCTAATCTAACCTAACCAAATTTGTAGGGGTACCCATAAACTGTTTTAACATGCTCTGCCAACTGACCTTAAGAGCTTATTTTCAGGCGAACCTGTAGCCCTAGATATAAAGTGCCCAAATGATTTTCACCTTATTTTTCGGTATATTAAGCAATAGAAATGAAAAACTAGCCATTTATAAGCCCTAAACTCCTTGCACGTCGCGGAGAACCTAACGGGTAACCGGGGCTCGGACTCGACGTGCAGAAGGAACGGGGTGGTTTTTAGTCAGTAAGAGTCTGACACTCCCTCCCGCCTCACCCAGGAGCAGTCATTCGATGATTTTCCCCCCTTAAAAAAAAACTCCTTGCACACCCTTTGCTACACTCCAACCCTCCGGCTCGACTTGCAGAAGAAGGAATGGGGTGGGTTTTAGTCAGTAAGAGTCTCGACACTCCACTCCTGCCTCACCCAGGCGGGAGCAGTCATTCGATGATTTCCCCTCTTAAAAAAAAGTCATGTACAATACTTGTGTGCCTTCTGTCACACCACATGGGTGTTACCACTGGCCACTGTTAAATAAAACTACTTAACTACATGGAAAATCATTGCTGTTTTTTTTTAATTTCCATAACCTGGACAAAGCCGCTTATAGTATCTGGTAAATTATAACATAATAATATGTTTATTGTTGATATTTCATGCTTACCTAGTGGAAGAGGATTATAACTTGAAGACTGTAAGTGAACTGGAGACCATATGTCACAATTTCAAATATTTCACCAATTTAATGATTATACATGTACCTAAATTATAGTTATATTTGTTTAATCTTGTTCAACTTTTGACTGTTTTTGTAGGTATCGCCTACACAATATATTATATCACATATCACTAAATACATAGAAAATATAGAATTGTTTTTTTATATTTCAGGTTCTTCCGGGACCTTCCTGAACCTTTGGTGCCACAAGAAAAACATAAAGATCTGGTAGCAGCTCTAGGTGTGTTAAATTACTTTAATAATTTGGTTGTTATAAGTCTGTAGTTTACAGCTGGAGCTTATCATCAAATAACAGAAGTATAATAAGAGTATTGGTGACCATAAACTGACCATAATTTGATAGATAGAAAGAAATACCATTGTTGTTCTTGACTATACTATAATTTATTTGATAGATTATAGTCAAGAACAACAATGGTATTTCTTTTATGGTTTACAATACTTTAGGCGGTCTTTCCTTGTTGTAAGGTCAAATTAATGGAAATGAATCATGATACCTATGAATGAAACTTGATATTGCTACTCATGTGCAATATGTCAAGGTCTATGTAATTGATTGAAAACTTTTATCATGCAATTAAATGTCGTTTTAAGTTTGTTAGGACCATTAAAGCCTTTTTGTATCTCTAATCTTTTATTTATTTGGAAAAGTTATTTGTCCCGCAATGCGACATTATACATGTTTTTATAATAAACTAGCGACCCGCCCCGGCTTCGCACGTGTGCAATATGTATATACATACAAACCTTCCTTAAGAATCACTCTATCTATTAAAAAAAACCGCATCAAAATCCGTTGCGTAGTTTTAAAGATCTAAGCATACATACGGACATACAGCGAAAGCGACTTTGTTTTATACTATGTATTGATACGCCCCGCCGCCCGCGCCCCCGCCGCGTCGCTTGCGACCGTCCACTGCGACGAAATAGATATTAATGAATATCTTGTCATTCAAAACTTCATTTATAACTAAAAATTATATAATTACCTTTCTTTTTAGAAGTACTTTGGATGCTATACACAGGATCGTAGACACAATAAATTGTATTGTTCAACTGGAATTTGATGAACATAATAATTCTATCTATAACATCTTCTAGAAATATCCGCTTCGGCATGTTAGGGGAGGTCATCACGTACAATGACGTTAGACATGCATCCGAAGCACACATAACCCTTTCTAACGCTGACTCTAACCATATTTGGCGCATCTCTTCACTATCCTCCTACAAAGACAAACCAGTTATATTATTTCGTATACGTTAATTAAAATAACAGAATGGTATCGTTTGAAACAATGATATAGGCTCACTTACCGGGTCGCTGACTAACGACATTTTCTCCGCCGCCCTGATATTTTTCTCTAATATGTTTAACAATCGAACTAATCTGTCTGCTGGTATAGCTTCCATAGCACCAAGATTCTTTAACTTAGCAGCTTCTGAGCACAGCTCTTGAAGCTGGTAACGTGGTAATAATAATTCTTCAGGTATATCTGTTCCTTCTGCAATTGAAATCCATTTTATAATTGTAAATAACTAGTTTAAAAGCTAGTTTCATAATTAGGGCCAAAAAGATTTGGCTTAACTTACCCATTTCGTCAGTAATTAATACGTCATCGTCGATAGCTTCGAATACTGATTCAATCAATTTGTTGAAACGTTGATAAGTATTAGTCTCCATTAATTCATCTACAGATAGCATTTCTAGCACAGGTACTAATCTCCGTTCTACTTTACGTAACTTTGGGCGCACTGAAACAACAAAAATATGATTTAATTATTTTCTTATTAAAGTGGATCTTGTTAAGGAGAAAATAGAAATTGATGTCGCACGTTCTAAATATCGTTTATTACAATTTTGTTCAAAAATATATGAAATAATTTTTTTACGAAATGTTAGATAAATATAAGTTTCCTATTAGTTTACACAAGCAATTTGTGGAATAACCAAAAAGATGTTTAATACCTATAGCAGCCTCAGCTTCTTCCCTCTTGCTGGCTTCTTCATGTTTCCTTTTAACTGCTTCCCAATTTTTCTCCCTAGCTATATCTATCGCTTCTCTTTCCTTATCTACAGTCGGTGTACCGATAGTTGACTTCGATTTCAACGGTACATTGTCATCAGAATCAGATTCAAGGGCGCTATTTTTCCTTGATCTTTCTTCAGCAGTAAAGTCATGCTTTTTCAACAATCCCTCCTGTAAAATTAATTATTTAACGGACATAAAAAATCATGGAATTTAAAATAATGATAGCCTATTAACAATTTAGAACTTACTGATAAACGTCCAAGTTTAACGACAGGATATCTATTATTCATAGCGCCCGCACTTTTACTTGGTTCTTGCTTGTCTTGATTACTATTTTGAGCTTGTGGTGGAGCGTATGGAGCTCCCATGGAAGGCTGAGGCACTTGCGGTTCTATACGAAGTGGCGATGGCGCCACACTGGCTTGTGCTGGAGACTGCCCAGTCCTCACATTACCATCTACAATATTAATAATGATAGTAAGTTAAAAGTTGGTTGAATGAAAAAATATAAAAGATTGCTTTCTTGCAACAATGATGGCATGGGTGACTCTTGAATACAATTACAATACAATTACATAAGACTAACAGTAAGAAGTCTAGAATTCGTTTTGGCAATAGGTATATCCTTTGATATAATAAATGATTATATAACAACAAGTTTGTGTACTATGAGTACTCCTGTTCTTTTTCTAAGGGTTTAGTATCAGATATGTATATCATAGTAAAGCAGCAGTAGTACCTTGCTCAAATGCCTTCTCTTGCAGTTGCATTATTAATCTCTGTTGATCCGGCTGGTTGCTTGGTGACATAGAAAGTGGATCTTTGTCTTCACTTAAATTAGTACCATAACTTCTATTATCTTGTACTAAACTATTATAAAATCCACCATTTTGTGGGTTGGAATTGGATGCATTTGACAGTGGACTTGGATACATATTGGATGAGTTTCCACTGTTCCAAATTGGGGACACACTGTTCTGAGAAGTACTATTTACTTGGTTCCCTGGCCTGGCTTGTGAGGGGGGAGAGCCCATGTTAACATGGGGAGAGGACTGAGAGGGAGTAGCCAACAATTGTTGATTTGGAATGGATGCTGTACCGTGTGATGATGGACTTGAGGGCACAGTATTGGGAGATATACCATTAAACTTATGGTGTGAGTGACAATTAGGACCCCAATGTGTTCTTGGTTGCTGCTCAAACACATTAGGATTTACACTTAAAATTGCCCTCAACAGCTCTGGTAAAGGTTGTGGTGTTGGAGGATTTGAAGTGTTTGCAGTAGCATCATCTTTTAAATCTCTGAAAAGATCAAAATTACATTCATTACAAGAGTGTAAATTACTTAAACCTTATCGAATATAATATAATAGATATGTACAATTAATTGAAAATATTACATGTGCGATACTGATGTCTGCATAAGAGATTGAATTAGTAAAGATACTAAATTTTCATCACGTGTTGCCAGCAGAATCGCTGCCTCTTCAGCAACACGAGGGTGAAACAACTGTGATTTGTTGTTAAGTGTTGCAGGCAGTGGTGCTGGAAGAGGTAACACGGGTAACACTGAAACAAAAAAGAATTTTTTAAACATAATAATTATAATATTATTATTGAATGCGTTTAAAACTTTAGTAAATTTTGAAGAGAGACCGATTGCTATGAAACATTGTGTGAAAGTTAAAGAACCCTCCTTTACACATTTTTCCAAACAGTAAATATGTCATTGCAATAGAACAGTAATAAATATTACTCATTAATACAGTAATATTCCAAGATGCAATTAATTGAGCATTGTAAAATACTATTCTGCCACATTTATTACAGTAACATACATTTATTAAACCACTAGTTTTATCTGGATTTGGTTTATGGTGCCAACTAAAACCAGGAACCAAGTAGATATTTAACTTAACAATAGCCAGTTCCTTTCCGCAACCCGCTAAGTATCATGTCTTGGGTTAGACTCATTGTCATTTTTAACAAGAGACACATAATAATATTATTTTATTCTGTTTTTAAAATATTAATCTATGTTAAAGTTTTCAGTCTGAGGAAAGTTATTCTCGACTTCATTAGAAGTTTAAATGTAAACAACTTTTAATTAATCTATCCATATTTAATTCGTAAAAGCCAATAAACTTAGAAATAAGTAATAATGTGATATGATCACTTATTTATTGTAGAATTATTTTGGTCAAACACATTCATTAACCCGGGAGTAAATATAATACAAAATAGATTAAAATAATAAACCTTCAGATATGGAAAATTTCACCTGAGGATTCTTATCCTCACCTCAATACCTTTTACTAATAAATCTGACTAAACATTCAAAATCAATGTACATAAATATAATATATTTTAGGGATATTACTATTAAACCAAAAATTATGAATTGTAATACTCTTTAACACATCTTTAGTTTCTTACTATTAGAAAAATATTAATAATTTGATATTAAATAAATCAAAAATACCCAAGAAGCAACTAATCAGATGGTACATACCTAGAATTAATGTTATGTAAATAATACATTTATGTTTATTATGACTATATGGTTATGCAGTTTCTAAGACAAGTAGCATACAACAATAATTTAGTATTTCATTAAATAATTGGTGTGATTGATTAGCAAGGAATACTGAGGAGTTTTATGTAAATGTTAGTTGTCAAAAGAACTCATATTTGATGTAGTTCACATACTTACAGTCTGTCAAGCTGGCTACTCCTGCTAATGTCGTAATAGGGACACTTGGGATATCCCTTTCATTCATCTTGATTAAACAGTTTTATTTTCTCAGGTGCACTATTATTTTCCTAGAAGTTAAAAAGAAAGCTTTTGCTGTGGTACTATAACACACCATACAAAATTGTTTGCGTAGTCGTTTCCACTATCATTTTACTTTCCACTCACGTAACACTTTTGCACAAGAATATTTAACATTACCAAATGATTATTTATCAAACAGGGGAAATCACTAATAATTGAAGTAACATCGAATCCAAAGATTGTTGTGAAAATGGGGCAGCCGTCAATTTGATGCTTTGTTGTGCGTTGTGCATCAAAACGAAGGTCAGCGCATCTGTACGACACTCCCATGAGAAACTGAGAAAATTAGTTTTATTGACACCAAACCGTGTGTTGATTGAATATGTAGCAAATACTCACTGAAACATTATGTTAACTATGTCTAATTTATTTATCCAGGACAAATCAAACATAATCCCAACATTTAGATAATCAAGAAATTACGAATTGGTGTTGCCAATCATCAAAAAAATCACCACATGACGCTATTAAATATTTTTCAAAACCATAGACAATTTGCTACATGCCTAGAACTGGAGCAGAAGGCATTTATTCAGATAAATACCTATTTGAAATTGATCAATAATCAGTAAGTGTCCGTTTCTGTCACTGCTTTTCACTCGAATATTTATCCAAAACATTGGATAATGTTTTCAATGATGACAAACGTGGATTTTCAATGAATTGTAATAAAAAAATAGTTATTCTACCACTGAATTTTATTTAGTTATCTGTACCCATTCTGTACCTCTGTACTTTTCAAGTCTTGCCTTTGGGCACTTATTCGCAAATGACAGTTACAGGTCATTGACTCTATTATTATTGTCTATGATTTTTCCGCACATTGGGGCTACCGGTTTTTTACTCACCAGATGGCGCAGATGTGGTAATGGTAACTGTAAGTACACCTACGGTAAACCAAACATCCACTATTCATAAATTATGTTAGAACCTTCCTATTAATAATGGGAACGTTTTTAACAAACCAGATCAGATTCTAAGTGATTATTAAAATAATTTGTAATTAACTCAAATATATCAATAAACAACTTTGCCCAAATTGGGAATCGAACTAATCGAAGACCGGAGCTAAAACCTCTTTTTTTCTTCTCTAAGATTCAGTTGAGTATTATAATTGAGCAATATAATATAATATAAGCAAAAATTGAATAATCGAACCAAATTCGTACAAATAATACTCTACTAATACCAATGCCTACTACTACAGTGACACTACATACCGATTACCAATATTGTATTAGCACTTGTGTCATCGAAGTGCATCGAAGTCTAAACTCTAAAGTTCATTTATTTAGTTTATCTGTTTCCAATTTCCATCAACTGTCACAGACTCACAGTATCATAATATAACTTTGTAAGGTTAGAGCCAAGGTTGAAGCAATAAGACTGTTTTGGTTTAAATTTTTAAAAAATCTATTGTAAATCTATAAGTAAGGTGGCCCACTGAACAGTTCGACTAATACTGGTGCTGTTTGACTTTTGTTTGAAACGTTCAACCAATTATATTGTAAACTTAATTTGTAATTTCTTTAAATATTTTAGCTGTCATTAGTTACCTGGAGTTGTAAACTGGAATAACTGGATTTTAAGCTCAACGATCATCACTAATAAACATTCAACAAAATGGATCTTTTGTACTGTGATGCAGTTGCAGTTCATTCACTTACTTGGTACCTGAAGTATGTTGGTATTCCATTGACCATTGGTGTGACAATGTGTAAATTATTCAGCTGTATCACCACAAATAGACGTCGTGCTGCATTGCAAGGAAAGGTAAGCTTTTAGTAAATTTTATATCCCATAAAAACTCATGGAATGTACTTACATGGAATTTGTATGATATGGTGCAGCAATTGATCAGTGAGTCGTCATATGGGTGAACCTGAGTACCTATAATATGTCACTTATGTATGTTATTTACACGACTTAATTGGTTTTCTAATTTGTATATTTCCAGGTAGTTGTAATAACTGGTGCAAGTTCTGGTATAGGAGAAGCATTGGCTCATGCATTCTATGAACAAGGAAGCAAAGTAGTGTTAGCTGCTAGAAGAAAAACAGAATTGGAGAGAGTAAAAAATGACTTAGTGTCTAAGAATCTGGTATATATCTTTTTACTTTTTTTACACACATTCATTCTTTAAACCACTGCAGAATAAGCTCACATAGTTCTCTCACTTTATTTAACTATATCTCTAAATCTTATCTAACAGTGCATTTTGATCTTTGGAGTATATGGCGTTTTTTATTGAAGTAATAGGAAATGCCAGTTTGAATGTAGTACATGCGGAAGTAGTTGGCCACGCTTTAGGTGGTGGCACATACCTAAAGCGCAGCCAACTCGTTTTGTGTGCATTAGAATTACTAATAAGAAATACCATTAAACTGTCAAACACCAAGCGGTCACCGGTGACCGCAACCTATTGTTCTATAATTGTGTCTACAAAACCGGTACTCGACGAGTTAAAATGATTTTTGTACCTTCATTTCATTTCACAGCTAACACCAAATAAAACAAGCTCAGATGTGTGCATAGAACTGTGTGAAAAGGCAAAATCAGAGTCTCATCTACTAATGCTAGAAGAAGTCATATGTAACGACTCGATGCGGCGCATAGTGCATATTGATGAAGTGGTACTGGACGTGGTACTTCGATGGAGTTACTGGGATGAGGACGACAGGAAGCACAACTATTTGCTAGTGAAAGAGAATAAAATACTCCATGATATGGAAGCGATGAGACAAACGCCGTCCGTTTGCGGTGAGCTCCGACTCGCCACTGAGGCAATGAAGTCTTTTAAACTACATATGTTTGAAGTGCAAAACTCTAGGCTGTGCTATTTCAAAGATAAACAGGTGAGCTTACTATGTATCAACAGAGTAAATAATTGTGATGCTTAAATCAATTAATGAAAGAGGTTTTATATTTCGGTTTTACAATTGTATAAATATTATTGTGGTGGTGTCCTGGAGCTTAAGGCATCCCGTCCTCGAGCATTAGAGTCCAGGTTAGAAACCTGTTAAGAACAATGGTTCATATTTAGTGGACATACGGCGAACGAAACGTGAGGAAACCTGAACTTATATTTAAAGCTGAAGAATTTGTTTGTTTGAATGCGCAAATCTCGGAAACTACTGATTTACTTTAAAAAAAATATTTGTTTGTTGGATAGTCCTTCTGTCGAGGAAGGTTATACGCTATGAAACATCACGCTACGATCAATATGCGCCGAGCAGAGCGGGTAGCTAGCAACCGCGCGGAATAGCTACAGTTTCAAATTGCCTATCCCACTTGACCAAGCGTGGCAATTAATAAAGAACATAAATCGGCATGCTTACTCAAGGCAGATTGGCCTTCTTGGTGTGAAAAGAGGTTGTTCTGTGATAATTATGATGATAAATTATTTCCACCTACAATGGTATTGCACGGTCAGGATGTGTGCAATAATTATTTATACTGTATTGACTTTACATGAGTGTTATATAATATAGATCAAGGTGTGTACAGTCATGATCTCATAAAACAATATAATTGCAGGGTTCTCATAAGATAGAGGAGTGGAAAATAAAGGACATTTTGTGGTATGTGGGTCATGAGGTAAAGAGGAATCCTCAGTCGCGGTGGGCCATCACATTTATACCTAGAAACAAACAGAAACGGTAACATAATATTATATTAATATTATATCTATCATATTTTATTGTGTTTATTTACATTACTTGAGTATATTAATACTTATTGTATCAGTCATTTATATTTTTTCTTGGGTAACTATTTATCAGTACCTGACAGATAAAGTATCAGATAGACAATGATTTATGTTTGCTAAGCAATATAGCATGATTGTATTGGCAAACAATGTCATGAAGATATTGAGATTTCCTTATATGCCATTTCCTTATTGGCAAGCTGAGTGATATAAATATACCTTAGACTTTCCATTTCTAAAAGAAAAGATTTAACAAATAACAATTATTTATGACTGTTTTTTAAAAGATTTGTAGACGCACGACACAAGAGTAAATTCCTGTGTTCATATACTTAGTTTTTTTTGTTTGTTATAACACAGTGTCGCGTTTCCGATTATGTTTACTGTCGCATGTCAGCTAGAAGATAAATCCTTTCTAATATTATAAATCGGAAAGTGAGTTTGTTTGTTCCGCTTTCACGCCATAACTACTAAACCGATTGCTTTGAATTTTTGAAAATGTATAGTCAGAAGTCCGGATTAAATAATAGGGTACTTTATATCCCGGAAAAATTGATATTCCCGAGGGAAAACAAAAGTATTGGTATAGATGGAGCTGTGTGTATTGGTATATGTCACATTGGCTTTTTATCCTTTTGTGACGCGAGCGAAGCCGCGGGTAAAAGCTAGTAGTAAATAAATAAATAACACCCACATGCAAAAACTTTTAGAGGTATAAATTAATTAATATATATATATATATATTAATATTCTTTGCAGGAGTAAAGACAAGCCGTGGTTCGGTTGCACTATAGCGGGCGCGGTGACGGAGGACCAGCTCAAGTGGATGACGGCACTTATGTTCGCAGAGCATTCGACAATACTACCTACTCCTCGACTAGTTATCACGTAATCTCGTATCTCATGGTAAGTACATATTACAAAATATAGCATTACTTCCTACAATACTAAAAAAAAAACTTAACATTTATACTTATCATAATCTGCTGATTATCCTAATAGACTTATTACAGCCAATGATTTATTTCGGAAATGACTGGCATTAATTGGATCTATATAAATAAAACTATGTCTACTGAATATGATATTTGGGAGGATTAATTTTAAACTACCACAGCAATTTGAACAATTTTCATTATATAAATATTTGGGATTCGTGAAAAATTAATATCAGTTAAGCAAATCTGAGGTAAATTGTATTATGATTGTGTAGTAAATTAAAAACTTTGATTTAATTGTTTACAGGAGAGCAGTACAACTGGTGTCCTTAAATTGACTTCAATTGCATAGTCCAGCAATTTCATACTTTAAAATGATCTGCAATGTGTTAGCAAATTACACTAATTTGTTACGTGTTTCGATGCACACATCAGTACTACTAACTTGCCAAGATTGTTTACATTGTAAGGAATATTCTATGTTCAGTTTTTAGAGAGAGTATGAAAATCTACATATTATTATATACTTAGGTAGAGGTGGTAGTCACTTATTTGAAAACAAATCACACTAGATCCTGTTTGCTCTCATTTGTAGCATGTAGCTACACCATAGCAAACATTCACAAGTATTCGCCTAGGTATGAAATAAAATGCCATCAAAGAAAAACTAAACTAAGCTGGCAAAACTTAATTTATATTTATATAGTGTTGCAGATAGCTGTTAAACAAAATATAAATGTTTTTTATGATAAAAAAGGTAATTTAACAATTGGGTACTTGCCAACTAGTCAAATTCAATACCTGTCAAAATCGACAGTTTTCTATGAATTTTATATGAGATTGTGTATTGTTACATCACGTTTTTTTAGCGTCAAACAGCAAACATTTTATATTTCTTATTTGCTGGAAAAATACTAAAATTAAATTTGTCATAAAATCAATTAATGAAATTGTAATTATTATTTTTTATAATCTTGTATTGAACAGTCTAAATCATTTATTTTTGATTATGGAATGTACCCAATTGGCTATTATAGACTATAGCTTTCTTGTTTGAGTAGTGTTAAACATAAACACGTAATGACACTGATTTTTATATATATTTATTTGTTTGTTACCTTCTTTTCCAAAGTAACTAGGTAATTAATTATTTAATTCTCATGATAGTAAAACCAATTTTTATTAACATAATGTAATTATTATATACAATAGATTTGACGTTGAAAATAATAAGAAATGCAATTAACTCAATAAAGACATAGAAATAAGTTGTATATAATTTGTAATTAATATATGATATAGTGTATTGAAATATATTTAAAATATCCATAAAATAGTACAATTATATTTTAAAATAAACTATCATTTAATGTTTGAATCTCTGCTTGGATAATTATTATTGAAAGAGTTTATTTTATATTTTAACAGATTAATTATTAGTTGCAGTTAGTAAATAATATAATGTATTAAATTTGAACCATTAATTTAGGCATTATTTTATAAATGGTAATAATTTTCAGTGAGATTGTGATGTGGCAAATCAAATTTTTCACAGCAAGCTTGAATATAATAATAGAAAGGGAAACTATATACTTGTGTCTGCCTGGTGGTACCAAGTAGGTGGAGTATATTGATAGCTAATAATCCAGTATATATAATTATAATGTTGGTAGTATGCCTAGTATTTGTAAATTTATGTTGTATTTATCAACCAATCATAATACCCGATTGCCAGTAGAAGGGTTGGTGCCTTTAGTTCATTCACACTTGTTTACTCATGCACATACCAGTTTGCCTTCCATCAATTCCTTGCTAAATAGTTTAATACTATAGCAGTGTAATACAATAATTTAAATGACACTGATATGATTTTAACATACTTATATATTTGACTCTTGTTATTTGTGATATTAATACTGTACCTTCACGGATTTTATTATGTATTGTTAAGTAATGAATATAAATTTAGATTATTGTAATAAATATGTATATAAATTATTGTACACGGAATGTCTATAAGCTGAGATGTAGGTACATTATTTTGTATTGTAATAAAATACATTTTAAGAAATAAAAATATTATGTTGTGTCATGAAGTGAAAATGTCAGTTAAAATCTCTCCACAGGTCTTCGTGTTATAAAATAATATAGGACATATATCTATGTGATATATGCAGGTTCACAATATGAAATGATTCTGGTTTCATCCTGGTTTAGTGATAAACAGTAAATTTCGTGATAGCAAACGCTTGCGTATAGAAATAATTACATGGCTAGAGTTTGTCTAAATGACAACTAAACTTTATTAGACTGAGACGGACCAGGATGTTAATCAAACAGGTGATTTATTATAAAAATAATATTGTAGAATTTATTATTAATTGTGAAAAGCGCTAGCCAAGTTTAACGTTATCCTGTCAATGAATTTTTAGGGCTCGAGTATTTTATAACTATTTTACTATATTCGTATTTATTAGTATTAGTATTTTATCATAAATAAAGTAATAGGATGTAATATTTTGTATGTATGTCTATTATATGATATCGTGCTCAAATAAAGGCGTTTTGAAAAGTCTATATTTCGTTTATTCTCCCTTCGGGGATTAAAACACTATACCATACATTGTCTATGTCAAAACTTAGATTATCATATGCATAAGTGTCTAGATTTTTGATGGAGCGTTACCGTACAATTACAACAAAAATGGCGTTGCAAAAATCATAACATATGTGCTGGCGGTTTTTGTTAATATTTTTATACTTTACTTTTATTTATTTTAGTTATTTGTTTGTGTTGTCTCTAATCACCAATTTACAACATATAACGAATAATACAAATAAACTTGAAACTGGTGTCTGTTGTAGGTAGAACATAATAACA